ACGCATATACCCCCGGGTTTTAACTCCAGGGGTTATGTCATGAGCGTGTCCGTCCCTCTATTCTAAACAAATGTATATGTAGTTATGTAGTGGATGTTTCAACTGTTTACACGCGTTGACCACCAGACTTAAACCCGAAATGCTAGTAATGATCCCGGGTGCAGTTATTAAGTCATTTGTTTATTCAACTCTCACTTCCAAACAAAAGTAAATGTAGTTATAGGGTGAGTATAGCATCTGTTGTCACGTGGGCTAAGACTCCTGGGGTTTGGGATGAGGCCATTTCTTATATCATGAGTGTGTTCATCCCTCCATTGCTAACAAATTTATATATTCTTATATAGTGGAAATGTCAATAGCGTACATATATTGTCCCCCAGGCTAAGTCCCTAAGGACTAAGGATGTTCCCCGGGTTCAGACCGCAGGGGAGGAACCCTGGATCTATTCTGGACGCATGGCGTATAGTTATATTTGAATGATGTGATTGAAGGTTACATACTAAAATAATGACAATGGGTTTAACTTGTTTACATGGTCCATTTTCAACAGCTGGTAAAACTATTTATAAATCAGGTTTCCATTTTCAACAGTTGGTAAAACTTTCTTTCAATCAGGTTCCATTTTCCACGGCAAGCCGAGTCAATTTTCAACGTTACAACGGTACTAACATTCCAACCTTTTCCCTTTAAGCATTTTGCAATCTTTGACAGTGATCATTCTATGAGCATATGTTGTCTTTGACTTAACATTATTACTATTTCGATAATAATTAGGTGACAAGGTGATTGAATTATTTGCGCGAGTCATCAAAGTAGTTGACAAAGAATGATTTTTAGTTTTACACCACAGTATTATACAGATGGTGTTATTCAGCAACATTCACAACTTTGGTACTATAGACAAACCTACCTGCCCCACTTGTATAAAACATCTCAACTTGAGATTTCCTCAAGCCCAGATTTTCCTTAGCTAATATCTCCTTGAAAATTCCTTAAGGAATTTCAGGACATCCTAGCCGATGCCTCCCTCCTGTTCCTTGAGAAAATTTTATACAAGCCGTTTTTGAGGAGATATCAGCTGAGGAAATCTCAAGTTGAGATATTTTATACAAGTGGGGCCTGCACTGTTACAGGTAACCCATACTAGTATTTTGACAAGTTTACAAGTTTTTTTTACAAGATTTATTAATCACTCCAGACACACCATAAGTGTGTAACAGGAGGTCAATCATCAGATACAATCAGATACATTGTTACATATTGTCTACAAATAATCAGATACATTATACATAGTGACGTACACCGGAGTAACAACAGAGAGTACAAGGAGTATTTGAGTCAAGAATTTATTTAAAAATAAGCTAAAATAAGGTTCTCGGTACCAGTAAACCCATATAGACAAAAGTTGATTATATATATATATATAGTTCTGGGTACCAGTTAACCCATATAGACAAAAGTTAATTATATATATATAGTTCTTGGTACCAGTAAACCCATACATACAAATGTTAATTATATATATATAGTTCTTGGTACCAGTTAACCCATATAGACAAAAGCTGATTATATATATATAGTTCTTGGTACCAGTTAACCTATACATACAAATGTTAATTATATATATATAGTTCTCGGTACCAGTTAACCCATATAGACAAAAGTTAATTATATATATATAGTTCTTGGTACCAGTTAACCCATACATACAAATGTTAATTATATATATATAGTTCTCGGTACCAGTTAACCCATATAGACAAAAGTTAATTATATATATATAGTTCTTGGTACCAGTTAACCCATATAGACAAAAGTTAATTATATATATATAGTTCTTGGTACCAGTTAAACCATATAGACAAAAGTTAATTATATATATATAGTTCTTGGTACCAGTTAACCCATATAGACAAAAGTTAATTATATATATATAGTTCTTGGTACCAGTTAACCCATACATACAAATGTTAATTATATATATATAGTTCTCGGTACCAGTTAACCCATACATACAAATGTTAATTATATATATATAGTTCTCGGTACCAGTTAACCCATATAGACAAAAGTTAATTATATATATATAGTTCTTGGTACCAGTTAACCCATATAGACAAAAGTTAATTATATATATATAGTTCTTGGTACCAGTTAATCCATATAGACAAAAGTTAATTATATATATATAGTTCTTGGTACCAGTTAACCCATATAGACAAAAGTTAATTATATATATATAGTTCCTGGTACCAGTTAACCCATACATACAAATGTTAATTATATATATATAGTTCTCGGTACCAGTTAACCCATACATACAAATGTTAATTATATATATATAGTTCTTGGTACCAGTTAACCCATATAGACAAAAGTTAATTATATATATATAGTTCTTGGTACCAGTTAACCCATATAGACAAAAGTTAATTATATATATATAGTTCTTGGTACCAGTTAACCCATATAGACAAAAGTTAATTATATATATATAGTTCTTGGTACCAGTTAACCCATACATACAAATGTTAATTATATATATATATAGTTCTCGGTACCAGTTAACCCATATAGACAAAAGTTAATTATATATATATAGTTCCTGGTACCAGTAAACCCATACATACAAATGTTAATTATATATATATAGTTCTCGGTACCAGTTAACCCATATAGACAAAAGTTAATTATATATATATAGTTCTTGGTACCAGTTAACCCATACATACAAATGTTAATTATATATATATAGTTCTCGGTACCAGTTAACCCATATAGACAAAAGTTAATTATATATATATAGTTCTTGGTACCAGTTAACCCATATAGACAAAAGTTAATTATATATATATAGTTCCTGGTACCAGTTAACCCATACATACAAATGTTAATTATATATATATAGTTCTCGGTACCAGTTAACCCATATAGACAAAAGTTAATTATATATATATAGTTCTTGGTACCAGTTAACCCATATAGACAAAAGTTAATTATATATATATAGTTCTTGGTACCAGTTAACCCATATAGACAAAAGTTAATTATATATATATAGTTCTTGGTACCAGTTAACCCATACATACAAATGTTAATTATATATATATAGTTCTCGGTACCAGTTAACCCATATAGACAAAAGTTAATTATATATATATAGTTCTCGGTACCAGTTAACCCATACATACAAATGTTAATTATATATATATAGTTCTCGGTACCAGTTAACCCATATAGACAAAAGTTAATTATATATATATAGTTCTTGGTACCAGTTAACCCATACATACAAATGTTAATTATATATATATAGTTCTTACCAGTTAACCCATATAGACAAAAGTTAATTATATATATATAGTTCTTGGTACCAGTTAACCCATACATACAAATGTTAATTATATATATATAGTTCAGTTAACCCATATAGACAAAAGTTAATTATATATATATAGTTCTTGGTACCAGTTAACCCATATAGACAAAAGCTGATTATATATATATAGTTCTTGGTACCAGTTAACCCATATAGACAAAAGTTAATTATATATATATAGTTCTCGGTACCAGTTAACCCATATAGACAAAAGTTGATCATATATATATAGTTCTTGGTACCAGTTAACCCATACATACAAAAGTTAATTATATATATATAGTTCTTGGTACTAGTTAACTCATATATAATTATATATATATAGTTCTTGGTACCAGTTAACCCATATAGACAAAAGTTAATTATATATATATAGTTCTTGGTACCAGTTAACCCATACATACAAATGTTAATTATATATATATAGTTCTCGGTACCAGTTAACCCATACATACAAATGTTAATTATATATATATACCAGTTAACCCATACATACAAATGTTAATTATATATATATAGTTCTTGGTACCAGTTAACCCATATAGACAAAAGTTGATCATATATATATAGTTCTTGGTACTAGTTAACCCATATAGACAAAAGTTAATTATATATATATAGTTCTTGGTACCAGTTAACCCATATAGACAAAAGTTAATTATATATATATAGTTCTCGGTACCAGTTAACCCATATAGACAAAAGTTAATTATATATATATAGTTCTTGGTACCAGTTAACCCATACATACAAATGTTAATTATATATATATAGTTCATGGTACCAGTTAACCCATATAGACAAAAGTTGATTATATATATATATTGAAGACATGGATATATTTGAACAAATACATTTTAAATACTGTTGATCGTGACAGGATTGTCACTTTAACAAACGAATGTTCGTTATAATTACCTATTAAAATGAGTACATAAATACATGTAACTGAAAAAAATTGTTAAGGAACAAGTTTAAAAAATCTAAAACAAAAACGGACGGTCCGGAATGCGATAAGTTTAGGCAAGCGCATTGAAGGGGTTGATTACCTCCAAAAGATATTAATCGCACGCAAAGTTTGAAAAAAAAAGTTTGATTTTTTTTCCATTTTGGTGTCCATTAACACAAATATGCTGTAATTCCCAAGTATTGATTATTTGTATCTGAATGCAGAAACAATTTCATATCTAGTTTAAACATTGGTTTATAGGACGTTAATTACAGCAAAACGTGTGTGTAAAAATTGGACAAACATACCAAAACGATGTTCAATACTCTTATATAATACAATTTATTTTACATATCAAGGTATTTGTGTCCATACTTTTCTCACAACAACGCAGATATGTTATTCACATGTATGATATGCACTCAGATAAAAGTAAGGAAATGGCGAACACAATCTTGTATATTTGACGGAAATACAAGCCTGGATTTTGGCCTTTGGTATTTGACGGAAATACACGCCTGGATTTTGGCCTTTGGTATTTGCAAGGTTAGCATGTATAGCACTTTTCCTCAATAAGTCGACTTAACAGTTAACACCCATTTCATGTTTCAGAACAAAAAAATGAATTTAAACACTTGAATATCTTTAACAAAATAAAAAAACACAGTTATAACTGTACACCAGATTAACTTCCATCTAGACTGCTTACATTCTTGAAGAGGCGGATTTCTCATGAACGCACGCGCTATGGTTCGTGTTTAAAGTGTAGGATTTCTTCAGACCCCGTAATCTTGTCAACTCCATCTGTCTATACATGGAATTTCGTCCCCAATTGTTCGAGAATCTATCGTCTGAAACAGAGATGACACAGTGTTATAGTTTTGTATGAAAATACAAAAAATATGTTCTAGGGGTACAAAGAGCGAAAGTGATTGTAACCCCTGTAGTATCGAGGATGGTTCCTGGGGTAGAGAGAGTGAAAGTGATCGTAACCCCTGTAGTATCGAGGATGGTTCTAGGGGTACAGAGAGCGAAAGTGATTGTAACCCCTGGAGTGTCGAGAATGGTTCCAGGGGTACAGAGAGCGAAAGTGATTGTAACCCCTAGGAGTATCGAGTATGGTTCCAAGGGTACAGAGAGTGAAAGTGATTGTAACCCCTGGAGTATCGAGGATGGTTCTAGGGGTACAGAGGGTGAAAGTGATTGTAACCCCTGGGAATATCGAGGATGACGCATATATAAAACTTTGACCCCATCATTTCAAAATTTTGGTGAGTGTGCTAAGTTATAAATGATTTTTGTGATATAATACCGAATTTTCGGATTGTAAAGGAAAACAATAAACTTTATATATAAGGTACAAGTCTGATTACAAGAGTATGTGAACACACAAGGAAGTCTAAAGCGCAACAGGTGATGTCAGAAACAAATAGGAGTTCACACCTAAAATTGAGTACTAAGTTAATGACTAGCCTCTGGCTTCCCTATGAATATCACATATTTTTCACGAGTATGGCAATATTTATTTTTCTATGAGTGTGAAGCACAAATGAAAAATACAGATATATTCTGTACGAATATTCACATTCTAATACATCGTAAATAATAGTTAGATCCGGATTTAGCCACGCTAGTTCACAGCTGAAATTATTAAAACAAATAATCAAAAATGTACTTTTAGATGAAATCCAGGTGATAGTGATTGACATGGTTTACATTACTAGACTGATTTTCAAAGCGATTTTTCCAAAATTAAGACGTCACAGTAAAGTTTTGCGTCACAAAAGACAAGCGTTCGGCTGAGACAAAAGACAGACAGACAGACAGACATAAACACACTCACACCCACACACGCACGCACGCACGCACGCACACACACACACACACACGCACACATACGCACAAACAAACACATACACACATTAACACACACACAACCTTACACACACACACACATCTAGATAACTAATGACAAAGTGAAGTATCTCCAGACAATAAATATGATATTGAAGCTTATGAGTTCGACGTAAGACAATGTGCTTACTCGATTTACCTCTGTAAGTACTAAATCCAAGTCACCTCAAGACGCATTCCAATTTACCACACTCCTTAGGAATCAACGTCCAGCTTTGTAAAGTAAAGCAGTTATGTGTTCGTATGCATTTACCTATAAACGAATGTTTCGTCTCAGATGATCGAAAAGATCCAGTGGTGAAAGACTTCCGAAACCGGGACGCCCCTTTTCGGAAGTTTCTCATAAACGGTGCTGTAGAAATTGTGTATAAAACTGGATTGATGGCGGAGTTTAAAGGGAGGACAAACACGGCAATCCATGCGTAAACCTACAAAAAAATATCACAAAATAAATCAGAGTATACAAAATGTATCGGAGTATAAACAAAATGTATCTGAGTATACGGAGTATAAACAAAATGTATCTGAGTATACAAAATGCATCAGAGTATATACAAAATGTATCTGAGTATACAAAATGTATCTGAGTATATAAAATGTACCGGAGTATAAACAAAATGTATCTGAGTATACAAAATGTATCTGAGTATACAAAATGTATCTGAGTTGATACAAAATGTATCTGAGTCTAGAAAATGTATCGGAGTATATACAAAATGTATCTGACTATATACAAAATGTATATGAGTATATACAAAATGTATCGGAGTATACAAAATGTACCTGAGTTGACACAAAATGTATCTGAGTTTATACAAAATGTATCGGAGTATATACAAAATGTATCGGAGTATATACAAAATGTATATGAGTATATACAAAATGTATCGGAGTATACAAAATGTATCTATAGTATGACACAAAATGTATCTGAGTATATATAAAATGTATCGGAGTATATATATATATACAAAATGTATCTGATATATGCAAAATGTATCAGTAGTATATACAAAATGTATCTAAGTATATATATATACAAAATGTATATGAGTATAAAAATGTATCTGAGTATATACAAAATGTATCGGAGTAGACAAAATGTATCAAAGTATATACAAAATGTATCTGAGTATAAAAAATGTATAGGAGTATATACAAAATGTATCTGAGTATATACAAAATGTATATGAGTAGATACAAAATGTATCTGTAGTATGTACACAAAATGTATCGGAGTATATACAAAATGTATCGGAGTATATAAAATGTATATATACAAAATATATCTGAGTATATACAAAATGTATCTAAGTCTACAAAATGTATCGAAGTAGACTAATTGTATCGGAGTATATACAAAATGTATCGGAGTATATATATATATACAAAATGTATCTGATTATACAAAATGTATCTGAGTATATACAAAATGTATCGGAGTATATACAAAATGTATCTAAGTATAGAAAATGTATATACAAAATGTATATGAGTATATACAAAATGTATCGGAGTATATACAAAATGTATATGTATCGGTATATACAAAATGTATCTGAGTATATACAAAATGTATCAAAATATATCTGAGTATATACAAAATGTTGATACAAAATGTATCGAAGTAGTAATAGTATATACAAAATGTATCGGAGTATATATATATATACAAAATGTATCTGATATACAAAATATCAGTAACAAAATGTATCGGAGTATATACAAAATGTATCTGAGTATATACAAAATGTATCGGAGTATATATATATATACAAAATGTATCTGATTATACAAAATGTATCTGAGTATATACAAAATGTATGTGTATCGGAGTATATACAAAATGTATCTATATACAAAATGTATATACAAAATGTATCGGAGTATACAAAATGTATCAAAATGTATCGGAGTATATACAAAATGTATCGGAGTATATACAAAATGTATATGAGTATATACAAAATGTATCGGAGTATACAAAATGTACCTGAGTTGACACAAAATGTACCTGAGTTTATACAAAATATATCTGAGTATATACAAAATGTATCTAAGTCTACAAAATGTATCGAAGTAGACTAATTGTATCGGAGTATATACAAAATGTATCGGAGTATATATATATATACAAAATGTATCGGAGTGTATACAAAATGTATCAGAGTATACAAAATGTATCTAATTTATACAAAATGTATCGGAGTATATACAAAATGTATATGAGTATATACAAAATGTATCTGAGTATACAAAATATATCGGAGTAGACAAAATGTATCGGAGTATATAGAAAATGTATCGGAGTATAAACAAAATGTATCGGAGTATATACAAAATATATCTGAGTATATACAAAATGTATCTGAGTCTACAAAATGCATCAGAGTAGACTAATTGTATCGTAGTATATACAAAATGTATCGGAGTATATACAAAATGTATCGGAGTATACAAAATGTATCTGAGTATACAAAATGTATACAAAATGTATCGGAGTATATACAAAATGTATTGGAGTATAGAAAATGTATCTAAATTATACAAAATGTATCGGAGTATATACAAAATGTATATGAGTATACAAAATGTATCTGAGTATACAAAATGTATCTGAGTATATACAAAATGTATCGGAGTATATACAAAATGTATCGGAGTATACAAAATGTATCTGAGTATAAAAAATGTATCTGAGTATACAAAATGTATCTGAGTATATACAAAATGTATATGAGTATATACAAAATGTATCTGAGTATATATATATACAAAATGTATCTGAGTTTATACAAAATGTATCGGAGTATATACAAAATGTATCGGAGTATATACAAAATGTATCTGAGTTTATACAAAATATATCTGAGTATATACAAAATGTATCTAAGTCTACAAAATGTATCGGAGTAGACTAATTGTATCGGTGTATATACAAAATGTATCGGAGTATATATATATACAAAATGTATCTGAGTATACAAAATGTATCGGAGTGTATACAAAATGTATCGGAGTATACAAAATGTATCTGATATACAAAATATATCAAGACAAAATGTATCGGAGTATATAGAAAATGTATACAAAATGTATCGGAGTATATACAAAATATATCTGAGTATATACAAAATGTATCTGAGTCTACAAAATGCATCAGAGTAGACTAATTGTATCGTAGTATATACAAAATGTATCGGAGTATATACAAAATGTATCGGAGTATACAAAATGTACAAAGTATGACACAAAATGTATCTGAGTATACAAAATATATCTGAGTATATACAAAATGTAAATGAGTCTACAAAATGCATCAGAGTAGACTAATTGTATCGGAGTATATACAAAATATATCGGAGTATATACAAAATGTATCCGAGTATATACAAAATGTATCCGAGTATATACAAAATGTATCGGAGTATACAAAATGTATCTGAGTTGACACAAAATGTATCTGAGTATATACAAAATGTATCGGAGTATACAAAATGTAAACGAGTATATACAAAATGTATCGGAGTATATACAAAATGTATCGGAGTATATACAAAATTCTGAGTATACAAAATGTATCTGACTATATACAAAATGTATCGGAGTATATACAAAATGTATATCAAAATGTAGTATATACAAAATATATCGGAGTATATACAAAATGTATCGGAGTATATACAAAATGTATCTGAGTATATACAAAATGTATCTGAGTAGACAAAATGTATCCGAGTACATACAAAATATATCGGAGTATATACAAAATGTATCGGAGTATATACAAAATATTTCGGAGTAGACAAAATGTATCCGAGTATATACAAAATGTATCGGAGTATATACAAAATGTATTGGAGTATATACAAAATGTATCGGACTATATACAAAATGTATCGGAGTAGACAAAATGTATCCAAGTATATACAAAATGTATCTGAGTATACAAAATGTATCGGAGTATATACAAAATGTATCGGAGTATATACAAAATATATCGAAGTATATACAAAATGTATCTGAGGATATACAAAATGTATCGGAGTATACAAAATGTATCGGAGTATATACAAAATGTATCGGAGTATATACGAAATGTATCGGAGTAGACAAAATGTATCCGAGTATATACAAAATATATCGGAGTATATACAAAATGTATCTGAGTATATACAAAATGTATCGGAGTAGACAAAATGCAATGAGTTTGTTTGGTGTCCCGGATGCCATTTCTATGTGTGCTAGATTACAATAGAGAGGTGAATATATGTTATTTCGTAGGGATACAGATCAGTTTTCAAGCAAGTACTTCCTTTTATGATTTTCAACTCAATGTCAGTTTACGAATTCTTTTTTCCGTATGTTGATTTTTTCTTAGTAAACTTACCATTGTTTTCCTTTCATCACGATGAAGGATAGATATTGTCTTGTACATAAGTCAATACAAACATATCTGATGCAAACGTTATTCTCGTGTTTTCTAAGACATTGTAGAAATGATTACAATATAACATAGGAAATACTTCAAAATGGTGAGCACCTTTTTATATCGAGCGCTTTATTATATTGTGTATGTGGTTATTCAACTCCAACAAACTGCCCATACGATCAAATTTAAACGGAAGTGTGGCTGGAACTGCAGTACCCTCATTACACTTACCGCAGCACGCAATGAAAACTGCCGACCCGTTGAATGGATTAAAATTATTTTGACCGACAAAATATCGTTTCAAGCTTTCATGTGGAAATAAAATCATACTAAAAGTCTTAAATAATTCATATGGATTTAACAAATATATGGATTCTGTAAGATATATATTCTTTCGATAACTGTTTGAAATTAATTATAATCAAGTATTTGAATGTTTATAAATTTTAAAGCAAACACTTAGAAGGCACAATGATAAGATACTATTAGTGGTGAGGGTTTTTTTTGTTGTTTTTTTCATCAGAAAAATGCAGTTTATGTAATATATTGTGACATTTGAATTTCATTTAAACATATACATTTATATTGATTTTCTTATCTTAATTACAATGTAGCAAAGAGAAAAGAAAACGGTGGTAGAGAACATTCTGATGTTAATAAAGGAAACTTGTAAACATATAAGCACCGCCTTTACAAATCCAACTAAAACAATATTGTCTTTTATCATATTTTAACTACAAAATCCTTTCTTTTTTTTAAAGCAAAGATGATAGAAAGTCCTCTCTGCAGTATCTGTAACTCTAAAAGGGAAACTCTTGCGCATTTATTTTAAAGATCTTTTTTATCAATTGTTATAGCCTAGATATGTTGTCAAAGACTTTATTAATACATTTACTGTTACCATTGAAACCGATGACCCTCATCACAAATTTCAGTTTTTTCTGGGTAAATACTCTGACAAGGTAATTGCTCAAAGCCGTTTACACTTATCAGGCTAGTAGTATCTTTTGCTATGGGGGAAGTTCACCATTTAAATACTTTTTCTGTTACCATGGAAACAGAAATGCCAAATTACAAAGTTCAGTATTTTCAGACCAGTTCTCTCAAACCATTCAAGGAAATTACCCGTTACTCAAATCTTTGTACAGGCATCAAACTAGTACTCCAGCAGAAGTTCTCAATTTCAAAACTTTGTATGGAATAATTAGAAATAACAAATAGAAATTAAACTTGTTGTAATATTAACACACACACACACACACACACACACACACACACACACCCACACACACACACACACACACACACACACACACACACACACATATATATATATATATATGTTTGTGTGCCTTTCTTTTAAACAGCTGGGCGCAGGGAAAATGCCTTTCGTTTTGTACTTCTTTGTCTGCCTTCATGGTGTATGATTATAAGTGCATGACTTACTTACATATGGAAACCTTATTATTTCAACTTACAAAATCATGCTTTTTGTAAGCACGCGAAGGGTCTAACTTTGGGAATAAAGTTGAATCCCTTCGGGGAATCGAACCCCGGACGGTTTGGTGAAAGACAAGTGTGTTACAATTGTACCACCAAACAACCGCCTGTTCACGATGTTACATTGTTTTCTAGAAGAAGAATATGTGATGATGAAGATGATGATGATGATGATGATGATGATGATGATGATGATGATGATATATTGATACATTTATATGTGCCAGTGGTTTGTTAAAATCTTGTGAAATATACAATTTTAAAAACACGTTTCAGTGCAGACATGGTTAGGCTGTTCAAAAAGCGCATCTTGTTGACCAACTTGGCTCGCTCTTAGGCAGTGCCTATTTCATACTAATTTATTTATTTATTTACCTGAGGTGGTACTCTGGCATCTGCTAACGATGCAAATCCCAGGAGTATGATAGGTATCCAGCAGCAAAAGTCGGACATCACTATTAAAGTCATCCTTTTCGCCATGGAATGGTCGGATTTAGCTTTGGACTTTCTAACAGCGGTAGTGGTTTTCTTGGCTACCATGAACATCCATAGATATGATATAAATATAACAAGAAAAGAAATAAAATTTAGAACAAGGAAAACAAAAACTGAATATTCCCATCCTCTCGGTTTCTCTGGAGTGATGTGTAACGCAAGACACACGGCCGAGCGACCGTAAAAGTTTGAGAAGTAATCCCATCCCATTAAGGGTGCAGCAGACAACACGAGAACCAACAGCCATAAACATGGCATCACTATCAAAGCCTCTCGCAGACCAAGACGTTTCATCTTAAGCGGAAACAGGATGCAGATGAGACGATCTAAAGTAATAACCGTTAGGGTAAAGACGGAAAGTTCGCTGGAAAATGTGGAGATGAATCCTGCGAACATACAAAGATCGCTTTGTCGCCATGATTTGTCGTAGACTGAGTATCTACCGCGATAGTAGGTATCGACCACAGCTATAATCAACAGGTACACACCCATGAAGAAGTCTCCCAACGCCAAGTTGCTGATCAAAAACGAGTGCACCTGGAAGTAACAAAACCAACATCCATTTGTGCAAGTCGTGTGTGTAATACTTATAACTTTTCAACATTTCAAAATAATGTATGGTTATTTCATTTTTTTAAAGATTAAACACAATACATGCATAATCTACAGTAACAAAGGATTACAAGTATATTTTATAAATAACATCAAGTATTTTGAAAAAAAAATGAGTGATAGACCATTGTGGTCCATTAACATTAAAGACGGATTTGCAAACCAGAAAATATCACCATTTAAAGCAGATATAGATTGGCTACACTAAAGCCACATAATGATTGGTCATTCAAATGAATATAAATTTCAAATGTGATATTCAGCAATGATTTTTGCGTTGTTCTGTATACATATAATGTTGGTCTCAAACGATCAATTTTATTTCATAACTTACTTTTCCAACTCTAAAGTCCCGGACTCTCCAGAAAAAAACTAGTCCGTTACCAAGAAATGCGATAGTGCCCAGAATCCATATACTTATTCTGAGGAAATAATTGGACATAAGATCCTCACAGGACGAAAACTCATCCGCCTCAGGATAGCAATTCTCCACAGACTTCGCCACACAGCAAAAGTGGAATTCGTCAAAATATCTGTCGAACAACAGAAAGGAAAATGTTCTTACTGAAAGGTGTCTGGATCCTGGATAATTCAGGGAGTACGATCACTTTCGCTTTCTGAGTCCCTGGAACATGGCAGGCCAAAATTGAAGGTAAAAGTGAAGTAATTTGATTGCTCCCAGGAGAAAAAGAACCTGACCAATCACAGGCTGATACCGTCATTTTGAAGATTACAATGAAGACACCCAATTTCAAAGCCTATACAGTATACCGTTATGTGACCTCGAGATTCGTTTGTTGTATATAAAAGGGTCGAACTAGATGTCCCGTCTTGTCCACAAGGTGTCGCATATGGAACCTTCAGTTTTGCCTTGACGTAAACTCTTTTAAAACATTTAACAAATATTTGAAATCAAGTTTTATACAAGTTTTTGTTTTACTCTTCTAGATTACCTAGTCTTATTCTCTTATTTCTTTCAAGGGTAAATCTACCTGTGTTCGTGGATAGGCCTGGATTAACACAATCGGAGTATTTTCCTGGTTTTTGTTTGATTTTCTATCATACATCGTTTGATTAAGATTATTATTTTCTAATGATTAAATAACAGAAATTACGAAGAGGTAGGCAATAGAAACCTCTACATAATGTTTTTTTACACAGCCGTTATGAGAATCGGCCTGTGGCATGATAAGGCTAGGACATTCAGTACAAAATGTTTTATTCAACATTACAAATATCGTGCGAAGGGATGGCGCTCATATTGTATCATAAACCTGTGTGAAATATGCTAATATTGTGTTAATATAACTTGATGTGGAAAGTTCATAATCTTTCATACCATTAAACACAAAGCGTTCTATAAAACTACTATATGTATATCACATTGGTAGATGGTCGAGGTGTGTATACACATGACTTTCAAATCCTCTATCCAAGGATTTATGTTTAAGAAATTATCAATGAAATTGTGTTAATTGCATAAAAATTATAGAATGTTCAAAGCTGGAAAATAAATAACTAAATGCATCAATATAGAAAGATGAAATAAATAATACTTTTGATATATACACTAACAAATTGGAGTTACTCCCCCTCAGCTGCTTAAAGCTAATGTAATACAGATAGTATTATATCCCGTACTTTTGAAAATGGCTTACAAAGCCTGCTGTCCAGTTTTTTTTAAACATTTAAAGAAGTCAATAGAATTAATAGAATAATTGTTGAAGTTGAAAGGTGTAACTACATTTATACCGTTTTCAGTTCAGTTACTGTAAGCTGCGGTTTACAGTAGCTGTTTGATTTCGTGCTTCCTTGATGTGAATACATGTATATCAGATTAACTGTTGCTGGAAAAACTATTCAGATCATACAATGCCTCATTTATGTATGGCTCAGGACGGAAAGGCTCCCAATCAACGTACTTTCCGATACTAGCCATGTATTCTGTATATATTAAGCGCACAATTGATTAATGTTTGACTACTGCTCCACAGTTATTTCCAGCAGGTCTAGGAGTTTATATATTCAGTCGTTTTTCATGTCGATATTGGAACATTTCATTATCCAATTCAAATTTTGTAACTTTCTTGTAAAATGTTTTGATCATAAAGGATAGTTTAAATTTTAAAAACAAGTCAACAGCACTTTCGGATTTCTGATTACTTATGGTTACCGTAGAGCCAACTAAACTACACAATGCATCATACAGCTGTTTACAGGGTCTCATACACATGTTTCCAGGGTCTCATACAGCTGTTTCCAGGGTCTCATACAGCTGTTTATAGGGTCCCATACAACTGTTTCCAGGGTCTCATACAGCTGTTTATAGGATCTCATACAGCTGTTTATAGGGTCCCATACAACTGTTTCCAGGGTCTCATACAGCTGTTTATAGGATCTCATACAGCTGTTTATAGGGTCTCATACAGCTGTTTACAGGGTCTCATACAGCTGTTTATAGGGTCTCATACAGCTGTTTACAGGGTCTCATACAGCTGTTTATAGGGTCTCATACAGCTGTTTACAGGGTCTCATACACATGTTTCCAGGGTCTCATACAGCTGTTTACAGGGTCTCATACAGCTGTTTATAGGGTCTCATACAGCTGTTTACAGGGTCTCATACACATGTTTCCACGGTCTCATACAGCTGTTTATATGGTCTCATACAGCTGTTTATAGGATCTTATACAGCTGTTTATAGTGTCTCATACAGCTGTTTCCAGGGTCTCATACAGCTGTTTATAGGGTCTCATAGAGCAGTTTACAGGGTCTCATACAGCTGTTTATAGGGTCTCATAAAGCTGTTTATAGGATCTTATACAGCTGTTTATAGTGTCTCATACAGTTGTTTCTAGGGTCTAATACAGCTGTTTCCAGAGTCTCATACAGCTGTTTATAGTGTCAATCAGTTGTTTTGAGGGTCTCATATAGCTTATTATAGGGTCTCATACAGCTGTTTACAGGGTCTCACACAATTGTTTCCAGGGTCTCATACAGCTGTTTATAGGGTCTCATACAGCTGTTTATAGGGTCTCTTATAGCTGTTTATAGGGTCTCATAAAGCTGTTTATAGGGTCTCAAACAGCTGTTTACATGGTCTCATATAGCTGTTTCCAGGGTCTCATACAGCTGTTTCCAGGGTCTCATACAGCTGTTTATATGGTCTCATACAGTTGTTTATAAGGTATCATACAGCTGTTTCCAGGGTCTCATACAGCTGTTTATAGGATCTTATACAGCTGTTTATAGGGTCTCTTATAGCTGTTTATAGGGTCTCATAAAGCTGTTTATAGGGTCTCTTATAGCTGTTTATAGGGTCTCATACAGCTGTTTATAGGGTCTCATACAGCTGTTTATAGGGTCTCTTATAGCTGTTTATAGGGTCTCATAAAGCTGTTTATAGGGTCTCATACAGCTGTTTATAGGGTCTCATACAGCTGTTTAGAGGGTCTCATACAGCTGTTTACATGGTCCCATACAGCTGTTTATAGGGTCTCATACAGCTGTTTATAGGGTCTCATACAGCTGTTTACAGGGTCTCATACAGCTGTTTATAGGGTCTCATATAGCTGTTTCCAGGGTCTCATACAGCTGTTTATAGGGTCTCAAACAGCTGTTTACATGGTCTCATATAGCTGTTTCCAGGGTCTCATACAGCTGTTTATAGGGTCTCAAACAGCTGTTTACATGGTCTTATACAGCTGTTTCCAGGGTCTCATACAGCTGTTCAGAGGGTCTCATATAACTGTTTCCAGGGTCTCATACAGCTGTTTCCAGGGTCTCATACAGCTGTTTCCAGGGTCTCATACAGCTGTTTCCAGGGTCTCATACAGCTGTTTATATGGTCTCATACAGTTGTTTATAAGGTATCATACAGCTGTTTCCAGGGTCTCATACAGCTGTTTATAGGGTCTCATACAGCTGTTTACATGGTCTTATACAGCTGTTTCCAGGGTCTCATACAGCTGTTTAGAGGGTCTCATACAGCTGTTTACATGGTCCCATACAGCTGTTTACATGGTCTCATACAGCTGTTTCCAGGGTCTCATACAGCTGTTTATAGGGTCTCATATACACAGCTGTTTACATGGTCTTATACAGCTGTTTCCAGGGTCTCATACAGCTGTTTAGAGGGTCTCATACAGCTGTTTACATGGTCCCATACAGCTGTTTACATGGTCTCATACAGCTGTTTCCAGGGTCTCATACAGCTGTTTATAGGGTCTGCTGTTTACAGGATCTCGTCAGCAAGGGTAAGGGCCGAAATAAATTTTAAGTGTAGGATGCGACTGAGGACAATGAAATGTAAACCTGATATATATACACAACAATTATTGCTAGCTCACTAAAAAATTACATATACCTTTGGCGAGTATAAAAGATGCACATTTATCACCAATATTAATACATTTGTATATCATCGTAAATGTTCCCTTTTTCAGTGTCCATCTTTATCAAACCAGCCGAAATTCACAATTAATCGAACGCTTCAATACTTACGATTTCCGGAGTCTTAGGAGGCCGTGGAACACATTTTCTTCTATGATTTCCAGAGAGTTTTCTCGCATATCTCTATAACAGATGTACTATTTTTACTTTTATTTTCATGATTCTACTCTTCAATTTTTTACGAAATCCGCGAAATTTGAATAATCTGGAAAGTAGTATTACAGATGATTATAAGTAGGTTCGGATTTAATTCCGAATCCTCGCCGTCACATACTGCTCAAGCACAAAAGCTTTCTTGACGTTTGGTTCTATGATGAAAGTGACCTTCCTTTGATCGACAATCAGATTTTCAGGTTCAATCGATTTAACTTTGACAAGTAATTCCTTGATTTCGTGTTTTGGTTGACCTAACACTGACCTTCAGCTGATCTCTTTGCTTTGCGAGCACACAGAGGAGCAAGTCAACCTCATTCTATAGCTATCAATTGCGTGTCCTTTTACAGGACATCTCAAGTAAAAACAGATGTCTATTTTCTTCTTCTTAACAGCATGTTAACAAAGTCTTCACGATGTCACAAAAGTAACGTTCTTACCACTAAGGCGGGCACCCCTCCCCTTCCCCCAACACAAAGACCAGCCATATCCTAATGGCTTTTCATACTCATCCGTAATGTTGGATGAACAAAATAAACAACATTTGCGATGACTATGTCCATCTCACTGGTTATATAATATGTCAAGCTATTAAACATAACCTACAGACTAAGGTTTGACAGAACACATTACACATAACTTACATACTAAGGTTTGACAGAACACATTACACATAACTTAAAGACTAAGAAGGTTTGACAGAACACATTACACATCACTTACAGACTAAGGTTTGACAGAACACATTACACATAACTTAAAGACTAAGAAGGTTTGACAGAACACATTACACATAACTTACATACTAAGGTTTGACAGAACACATTACACATAACTTACAGACTAAGAAGGTTTGACAGAACACATTACACATAACTTACAGACTAAGAAGGTTTGACAGAACACATTAAACATAACTTACAGACTAAGAAGGTTTGACAGAACACATTACACATAACTTACAGACTAAGAAGGTTTGACAGAACACATTACACATAACTTACAGACTAAGAAGGTTTGACAGAACACATTACACATAACTTACAGACTAAGGTTTGACAGAACACATTACACATAACTTACAGACTAAGGTTTGACAGAACACATTACACATAACTTACAGACTAAGAAGGTTTGACAGAACACATTACACATAACTTACAGACTAAGAAGGTTTGACAGAACACATTACACATAACTTACAGACTAAGAAGGTTTGACAGAACACATTACACATAACTTACAGACTAAGAAGGTTTGACAGAACACATTACACATAACTTACAGACTAAGAAGGTTTGACAGAACACATTACACATAACTTACAGACTAAGAACGTTTGACAGAACACATTACACATAACTTACAGACTAAGAAGGTTTGACAGAACACATTACACATAACTTACAGACTAAGAAGGTTTGACAGAACACATTAAACATAACTTACAGACTAAGAAGGTTTGACAGAACACATTACACATAACTTACAGACTAAGAAGGTTTGACAGAACACATTACACATAACTTACAGACTAAGAAGGTTTGACAGAACACATTACACATAACTTACAGACTAAGGTTTGACAGAACACATTACACATAACTTACAGACTAAGAAGGTTTGACAGAACACATTACACATAACTTACACACTAAGGTTTGACAGAACACATTACACATAACTTACAGACTAAGAAGGTTTGACAGAACACATTACACATAACTTACAGACTAAGGTTTGACAGAACACATGATACATAACTTACACACTAAGGTTTGACAGAACACATTACACATAACTTACAGACTAAGAAGGTTTGACAGAACACATTACACATAACTTACAGACTAAGAAGGTTTGACAGAACACATTACACATAACTTACACACTAAGGTTTGACAGAACACATTACACATAACTTACAGACTAAGGTTTGACAGAACACATTACACATAACTTACAGACTAAGAAGGTTTGACAGAACACATTACACATAACTTACACACTAAGGTTTGACAGAACACATTACACATAACTTACAGACTAAGGTTTGACAGAACACATTACACATAACTTACAGACTAAGGTTTGACAGAACACATTACACATAACTTACAGACTAAGGTTTGACAGAACACATTACACATAACTTACACACTAAGGTTTGACAGAACACATTACACATAACTTACAGACTAAGGTTTGACAGAACACATTGCACATAACTTACAGACTAAGCTTTGACAGAACACATTACACATAACTTACAGACTAAGGTTTGACAGAACACATTACACATAACTTACAGACTAAGAAGGTTTGACAGAACACATTACACATAACTTACACACTAAGGTTTGACAGAACACATTACACATAACTTACACACTAAGGTTTGACAGAACACATTAAACATAACTTACAGACTAAGGTTTTACAGAACACATTACACATAACTTACAGACTAAGGTTTGACAGAACACATTACACATAACTTACACACTAAGGTTTGACAGAACACATTAAACATAACTTACACACTAAGGTTTGACAGAACACATTAAACATAACTTACACACTAAGGTTTGACAGAACACATTAAACATAACTTACACACTAAGGTTTGACAGAACACATTAAACATAACTTACACACTAAGGTTTGACAGAACACATTAAACATAACTTACACACTAAGGTTTGACAGAACACATTACACATAACTTACACACTAAGGTTTGACAGAACACATTAAACATAACTTACACACTAAGGTTTGACAGAACACATTAAACATAACTTACACACTAAGGTTTGACAGAACACATTAAACATAACTTACAGACTAAGGTTTGACAGAACACATTACACATAACTTACAGACTAAGAAGGTTTGACAGAACACATTACACATAACTTACACACTAAGGTTTGACAGAACACATTACACATAACTTACACACTAAGGTTTGACAGAACACATTACACATAACTTACAGACTAAGGTTTGACAGAACACATTACACATAACTTACAGACTAAGGTTTGACAGAACACATTACACATAACTTACAGACTAAGAAGGTTTGACAGAACACATTACACATAACTTACAGACTAAGCTTTGACAGAACACATTACACATAACTTACACACTAAGGTTTGACAGAACACATTACACATAACTTACAGACTAAGGTTTGACAGAACACATTACACATAACTTACAGACTAAGGTTTGACAGAACACATTACACATAACTTACAGACTAAGGTTTGACAGAACACATTACACATAACTTACAGACTAAGAAGGTTTGACAGAACACATTACACATAACTTACAGACTAAGCTTTGACAGAACACATTACACATAACTTACAGACTAAGAAGGTTTGACAGAACACATTACACATAACTTACAGACTAAGGTTTGACAGAACACATTACACATAACTTACAGACTAAGAAGGTTTGACAGAACACATTACACATAACTTACAGACTAAGCTTTGACAGAACACATTACACATAACTTACAGACTAAGAAGGTTTGACAGAACACATTACACATAACTTACAGACTAAGGTTTGACAGAACACATTACACATAACTTACAGACTAAGAAGGTTTGACAGAACACATTACACATAACTTACAGACTAAGAAGGTTTGACAGAACACATTACACATAACTTACAGACTAAGGTTTGACAGAACACATTACACATAACTTACAGACTAAGAAGGTTTGACAGAACACATTACACATAACTTACAGACTAAGAAGGTTTGACAGAACACATTACACATAACTTACAGACTAAGAAGGTTTGACAGAACACATTACACATAACTTACAGACTAAGGTTTGACAGAACACATGATACATAACTTACACACTAAGGTTTGACAGAACACATTACACATAACTTACAGACTAAGCTTTGACAGAACACATTACACATAACTTACAGACTAAGCTTTGACAGAACACATTACACATAACTTACAGACTAAGGTTTGACAGAACACATTACACATAACTTACAGACTAAGAAGGTTTGACAGAACACATTACACATAACTTACAGACTAAGAAGGTTTGACAGAACACATTACACATAACTTACAGACTAAGAAGGTTTGACAGAACACATTACACATAACTTACAGACTAAGAAGGTTTGACAGAACACATTACACATAACTTACAGACTAAGCTTTGACAGAACACATTACACATAACTTACAGACTAAGGTTTGACAGAACACATTACACATAACTTACACACTAAGAAGGTTTGACAGAACACATTACACATAACTTACACACTAAGGTTTGACAGAACACATTACACATAACTTACAGACTAAGGTTTGACAGAACACATTACACATAACTTACACACTAAGGTTTGACAGAACACATTACACATAACTTACAGACTAAGAAGGTTTGACAGAACACATTACACATAACTTACAGACTAAGGTTTGACAGAACACATTACACATAACTTACAGACTAAGAAGGTTTGACAGAACACATTACACATAACTTACAGACTAAGAAGGTTTGACAGAACACATTACACATAACTTACAGACTAAGAAGGTTTGACAGAACACATTACACATAACCTACAGACTAAGTTTTGACAAAACACATTACACATAACTTACACACTAAGAAGGTTTGACAGAACACATTACACATAACTTACACACTAAGGTTTTACAGAACACATTACACATAACCTACAGACTAAGTTTTGACAAAACACATTACACATAACTTACACACTAAGAAGGTTTGACAGAACACATTGCACATAACTTACAGATTGCGGTTTGACAGAACACATTGCACATAACTTACAGATTGCGGTTTGACAGAACACATGATACATAACTTACAGACTAAGAAGGTTTGACAGAACACATTGCACATAACTTACAGATTGCGGTTTGACAGAACACATGATACATAACTTACAGACTAAGAAGGTTTGACAGAACACATTGCACATAACTTACAGATTGCGGTTTGACAGAACACATTGCACATAACTTACAGATTGCGGTTTGACAGAACACATGATACATAACTTACAGACTAAGAAGGTTTGACAGAACACATTGCACATAACTTACAGATTGCGGTTTGACAGAACACATTGCACATAACTTACAGATTGCGGTTTGACAGAACACATGATACATAACTTACAGACTAAGAAGGTTTGACAGAACACATTGCACATAACTTACAGATTGCGGTTTGACAGAACACATTACACATAACTTACAGACTAAGGTTTGACAGAACACATTACACATAACTTACAGACTAAGAAGGTTTGGTAGACCACTTAGAGCGCCATCTTCTATTTTTATTAGGCGGTTCCCAACTAGGTTGCTGAAAGATATAATATACAACTTATCTAGATATCTGCATTTAATTCCATATACAGATACAGCTAATAAATATCATATTTCTTATTGGTTTTTTGTTTAAATGCATTGAATATCAAATTTCATGCATTGAATATTAACAAAGCTGTTTCGGATAAACAAATCAAACTCGATTGATAATGAAATTTGGTTTCTTATTATAGAAATACGTAGATGATGATTATAAAGCATACAGTTATTAACACTAATCGATATGAAACTTTAGGTATATGATATAGCATACAGTTTATACAGCTTGTGAAGTCCCACAAATGCTCTCTGATGAATCCTTTCAATTCGTTGATAGCTCAGGTCACTGTCAACAAACATAACAGTTAGTTTACACAGTAGCATCATGAGCTAGAAATATGAATTAAATGTGTAAAAACTGATGTTGTAGAGGAACCGTTTGAAATAAAATCCACCCATATCACAATAATTCCATATTTGGCACATAGATAATTAATGAATCTGGTAATGACGAATACGAGGGCGATATTCTGTTTTACAATATTCAACAAAATAACTTATTTTGAAAAAAATCAATCGAGATTCATTTACAACTACTATGTCAAAATGACTGATGGAACACGTGTAGAATACATGATATCTAATTGATTAGCGATCAGAGCTTCCGCTCAAAACGAAAGAAACGTGATGTGCAACATTTTTGTACCGCAACAAACAAAGCGGCAAATGAATATACAAGAAAATCGGTAAAACAGATGGATACTCCCCGAATAAACGCAAGTTCTAAAAGGACAAATGATGCAAAAGAGAGTTATGGGTATTGTATACCCGAATTCTCCTTATGGAGATCGATCTACCGACGATCTACCAACGGACAAACAAATAGATAGACGGACGGACAAAGCAGTGGTTATATGCTCTCCCTTCGTGGAGCATAATAACCTTAGTCAAAACAGTACATACAGTGTTTGAAGATGTGAGAGTCCGGAGAAAGCATACGGCTGTAGTTCCTCAATTAGATTGTCCTCTAGATACCTTCCAGGAATAAAGAACAGTATCTTAATATTATTTTAATACACATCTTTATTCTTTAATTATTTCAGCATCAAAAACATATATCTCATTATTTTGATAACACAGCTGAAATCTACAGTCTCTTCATACCGTATCTATGGTTCTGCCTTGACAATCAACTTATATCATGAACTGTTCATGACCTTTAACCTCATTTCTAATTAATAAAACCGTGTCTTGGGTTGTACACAAAGTGTCTACTAGTATCTATTTAGCCGTGAAGTGTATATAAAGAATGCTCTTATTTCACTATAAATCGTACATAAATTATTGCGTATTTTTAATCAGGAAAATTTTAATCCGCACTTTATTATATGTTAAATGCATAAATTGTATTATTAATTTCATTATATTGGCAAATCAGAGAAACTGACGAAAACTCAGTAAAACAGCGTAGTTTCTCAATACATAGTATCAGGTCATATATACTGTGTGTCCTGTATACAATATCAATGTCATGATATATTGTGTGTCCACTATACAGTATAAACGTCATGATATACTGTGTGTCCAGTATACAGTGTAAATGTCATGATATACTGTGTGTCCAGTATCAATGTCATGATATACTGTGTGTCCAGTATACAGTGTAAACGTCATGATATACTGTGTGTCCAGTATACAGTATAAACGTCATGATATACTGTGATATACTGTGTGTCTAGTATACAGTATCAACGTCATGATATACTGTGTGTCTAGTATACAGTATAAACGTCATAATATACTGTGTGTCCAGTATACAGTATAAATGTCATGATATACTGTGTGTTGAGTATAAACGTCATGATATACTGTGTGTCCAGTATACAGTATCAATGTCATGATATACTGTGTGTCCAGTATACAGTGTAAACGTCATGATATACTGTGTGTCTAGTATACAGTATCAACGTCATGATATACTGTGTGTCCAGTATACAGTATCAACGTCATGATATACTGTGTGTCCAGTATACAGTATAAATGTCATGATATACTGTGGGTCCAGTATTAATGTCATGATATACTGTGTATCTAGTATACAGTGTAAATGTCATGATATACTGTGTGTCCAGTATTAATGTCATGATATACTGTGTATCTAGTATACAGTGTAAATGTCATGATATACTGTGCATCTAGTTTACAGTGTAAATGTCATGATATACTGCGTGTCCTGTATACAGTACCAACGTCAAGATATACTGTGTGTCCAGTATACAGTATAAATATCATGATATACTGTGTGTCCAGTATTAACGTCATGATATACTGTGTATCTAGTATACAGTGTAAATGTCATGATATACTCTGTGTCCAGTATTAATGTCATGATATACTGTGTGTCCAGTATTAATGTCATGATATACTGTGTGTCTAGTATACAGTATAAATGTCATGATTATACTGCGTGTCCTGTATACAGAATCAACGTCATGATATACTGTGTGTCCAGTATACAGTATAAATGTCATGATATACTGTGTGTCTTGTATAAACGTCATGATATACTGTGTGTCTAGTATACAGTGTAAATGTCATGATATACTGTGTGTCCAGTATACCGTATCAATGTCATGATATATTGTGTGTCTAGAATACAGTATCAATGTCATGATATACTGTGTGTCCAGTATCAACGTCATAATATACTGCGTGTCCAGTATAAATGTTATGATATACTGTGTGTTCAGTATACAGTATAAACGTTATGATATACTGTGTGTCCATTATGAAGTGTAAACGTCATGATATACTGTGTGTCCAGTATTAATGTCATGATATGCTGTGTATCTAGTATACAGTGTAAATGTCATGATATACCGTGTGTCCAGTATCAATGTCATGATATACTGTGTGTCCAGTATACAGTGTAAACGTCATGATATACTGTGTGTCAAGTATTCAGTAATTAACGTCATATACTGTGTGTCCAGTATGTCATGATATACTGTGTGTCCAGTATAATGTCATGATATACTGTGTGTCCAGTATACAGTATAAACGTCATGATATACTGTGTGTCCAGTATAATATACTGTGTATGATATACATGTGTCCAGTATACAGTGTATATACTGTGTGTCCAGTATAAATAAATGTCATGATATACTGTGTTACCAGTATACAGTGAAAAGGTCAAGATATACTGTGTGTCTAGTATACAGTATAAATGTCATGATTATACTGCGTGTCCTGTATACAGAATCAACGTCATGATATACTGTGTGTCCAGTATACAGTATAAATGTCATGATATACTGTGTGTTCAGTATGCAGTATAAACGTCATGATATACAGTCTGTCCATGATATACTGTGTATCTAGTATACAGTGTAAATGTCATGATATACTGCGTGTCCTGTATACAGTATAAACGTCATGATATACTGTGTATCCAGTATACAGTGTAAATGTCATGATATACTGTGTTTCTAGTATACAGTGTAAACGGCATGATATACTGTGTCCAGTATACAGTGTAAACATCATGATATACTGTGTGTCTAGTATACAGTATCAACGTCATGATATACTGTGTATCCAGTATACAGTGAAAAGGTCAAGATATACTGTGTGTCTAGTATACAGTATCAACGTCATGATACACTGTGTGTCCAGTATACAGTGTAAATATCATGATATACGGTGTGTCTAGTAAACAGTATAGATGTCATGATATACTGTGTGTCCTGTATTAATGTCTTGATATGCTGTGTATCTAGTATACAGTGTAAATGTCATGATATACTTTGTGTCCAGTATACAGTATCAATGTTATGATATACTGTGTGTCCAGTATACAGTGTAAACGTCATGATATACTGTGTGTCTAGTATACAGTATCAACGTCATGATATACTGTGTGTCTAGTATAGAGTGTAAATGTATTGATATACTGTGTGTCCTGTATACAGTATAAACGTCATGATATACTGTGTGTCCAGTATACAGTGTAAACGTCATGATATACTGTGTGTCTAGTATACAGTATAAATGTCATGATATACTGTGTATCTAGTATACAGTGTAAATGTCATGATATACTGTGTGTCCAGTATTAATGTCATGATATACTGTGTGTCTAGTATACAGTATAAATGTCATGATATACTGTGTGTCTAGTATACAGTGTAAATGTCATGATATACTGCGTGTCCTGTATACAGTACCAACGTCAAGATATACTGTGTGTCCAGTATACAGTATAAATATCATGATATACTGTGTGTTCAGTATACAGTATCAATGTTATGATATACTGTGTGTCCAGTATACAGTGTAAATGTCATGATATACTCTGTGTCCAGTATTAATGTCATGATATACTGTGTGTCCAGTATTAATGTCATGATATACTGTGTATCTAGTATACAGTGTAAATGTCATGATATACTGTGTGTCCAGTATACAGTGTAAATGTCATGATATACTGTGTGTCCAGTATACAGTATAAATGTCATGATATACTGTGTGTTCGGTATACAGTATTAATGTAATAATATACTGTGTGTCTGGTATACAGTATAAACGTCATAATATACTGTGTGTCCTGTATACAGTATCAATGTCATGATATACTGTGTGTCCAATGTCATGATATACTGTGTGTCCAGTATACAGTATAAACGTTATGATATACTGTGTCCAGTATACAGTATAAACGTCATGATATACTGTGTGTCCAGTATACAGTGTAAACATCATGATATACTGTGTGTCTAGTATACAGTATCAACGTCATGATATACTGTGTGTCTAGTATACAGTGTCAATGTCATGATATACTGTGTGTCCAGTATACATTATTAATGTCATGATATACTGTGTGTCCAGTATACATTATTAATGTCATGATATACTGTGAGTCCAGTATTAATGTCATGATGTACTGTGTATCTAGAATACAGTGTAAACGTCATGATATACTGTGTGTCTAGTATACAATATAAATGTCATGATATACTGCGTGTCCTGTATACCGTATCCACGTCATGATATACTGTGTGTCCAGTATACAGTGTAAAAGTCATGATATACTGTGTGTCAAGTATTAATGTCATGATATACTGTGGGTCCAGTATTAATGTCATGATATACTGTGTATCTAGTATACAGTATCAACGTCATGATATACTGTGTGTCGATTACACTGTATAATTGTCATGATATACTGTGTTTACAGCATCAACGTCATGATATACTGTGTTACCAGTATACTGTGTGTCTAGTATCAACGTCATGATATACGGTGTGTCTAGTATACAGTGTAAATGTCATGATATACTGTGTGTCTAGTATACAGTATAAATGTCATGATATACTGTGTATCTAGTATACAGTGTCAACGTCATGATATACTGTGTATCTAGTATACAGTGAAAAGGTCAAGATATACTGTGTGTCTAGTATACAGTATCAACGTCATGATATACTGTGTGTCCAGTATACAGTATAAATGTCATGATATACTGTTTGTTTAGTATACAGTCTAAATGTCATGATATACTGTGTGTCCTGTATAAACGTCATGATATACTGTGTGTCCAGTATAAACGTCATGACATAAGGCGTGTCCAGTATACAGTGTAAACGTCATGATATACTGTGTGTCCAGTATACAGTATAAATGTCATGTTATACTGTGTGTCCAGTATAAACGTCATGATATACTGTGTGTCAAGTATACAACATCAATGTCATGATATACTGTGTGTTCAGTATGCAGTATAAACGTCATGATATACAGTCTGTCCAGTATTAATGTCATGATTTACAGTGTATCTAGTATACAGCGTCAACGTCATGATATACTGTGTATCTAGTATACAGTGTAAATGTCATGATATACTGCGTGTCCTGTATACAGTATAAATGTCATGATCTACTGTGTGTCCAGTATACAGTATCAACGTCATGATATACTGTGTGTCCAGTATACAGTTTACATGTCATGATAATCTGTGTCCAGTATATAG